CGTCGAGGCCGCCACGACGGTATCGGAGCCCAGTGATGATTCCACCTGAAGAATCGGCGGTATTTCACGCACAAGACCCGGTGTGGAATGGGGACCTCGAGGCTTGCGCCTTGACTGGTCGCGACAAGGCAATCCTCCGCGAGTTCTGGACAAAGCTGGACAATGACCAAATGCAGTTTTGCGGTCGATGCCAAGAGAGTTGGTTCGAGATGAAGATCGATTGCGATGGCATTTGTGCGCGTTGCTATCGAAAGGATGAGAAACGCCGCCCCGACGAGCCGTATTTCTTCTCTGCGGATAATCAGCTCGACTTTGGCCCTGTACCGACCCGATTGCCCCAGCTTACGCCTACCGAAGAGTCTTTGATTGCTCGTGTTCACGTCCACGTGAACATTATGCTTGTGCGAGGGCAGCAGTACAAGTATCGGGGGCATGTGGTTCACTTTCTCCGCGAGGTTGGCTTAGTATACAACCAGCTCCCGCTTCTGCCGCAGGAGTTGAACATTGTATTACTACGTCCTGCCAATACGTCGTCCCACGCAATTCTTAGCCGGCAATTCACCCGCCAGTTCCGCGTCCGCCGCCAGCCGGTTGTCATATGGCTAGACTACCTCCGCCGCCATCATCCTGGCTATCGATGTATCGTCATCGACGGAGAGAGGCTGAATCAATTGCCCCAAGATGGCAATGTCCTGGATGCAATCCCCCAGAGTCAGGTGGAGGCTGCGGATGTTGGACCCGAGGAAGATCAGGAGGCAGAGCCTGACCTGGAGGACGAGGCTGCAGTGCCAGATCTGTTGGTCAAGGACACGGAGCTCGATGCTCTGCGGTCTATTCTCGCTGGAGAATCAGAAGCTGATTCAGGGCTTTCCACAAGCTTCCAGGCGCAACACGAGCTGCAGCTCCCGAATATACGACACACACCCATTAATGAGTTCAATCGCTCTCATGCCCTACTCTCCTTGGCGTTTCCCTGCCTCTTTCCTGACGGTAGAGCCGACTTTGTTGAACCTCGATTACGCTCCATTGATTACAAGGATTACGTCGAGCACGCGATGCGCTGGCACGATGGCCGTTTTGCACGCCACCCGACCTTCCGCTTCGTCGCCTTCAACACACTAATGCGGTCACAAGCACGTTCACGGTCCAGATTCTTCGTGAAGCAACATGATGGGAGACAGCAGCCGCTGACGCGAGAGCAACTTATTCAGGCGCTGGAACACAGCGAGGACCCCGAGGCGCAGGCGCTGATCAACTCGATCACAAGGCATGCGGTGTCTATTCGCGGTACGCGTCCCTTCTGGAACAAAAGGAGGCAGGACCTCGAGGCCTATGCCTATAACCTTGGTTGTCCTGGTGCATTCATCACGTTTAGCCCGGCAGATTTACACTGGCGGAGTCTCTACCAGCACATGCCCCAGTATGACGACTGGCTAGCCGCCACCGAGCCGGAGAGGATGGCTCTATCGCGCCGCCTATTGCGGCAGAACCCCCACATTGCTGCTTTCCACTTCTACCGCCGATACTGCCTCTTTCGGGATATCGTGCTAAGCAAGAAGTTCGGCATCACGGATTACTGGGATCGGTACGAATGGCAAGGGCGTGGTAGTCCACACAACCACGGCCTATACTGGATGGAAAATTGCCCCGGAGCCGACATGGAGGACGAAGCCGCTCGTGATGTATTTGCACGCACGTGGGGATTCCACGTCACTGCCATTAACCCCGAGCCGAGTAGGACTATGCCTCAGGGTGAGGGTAATCCGCTGAGCGTAGATCCCCTAAGCATAGAGATGACATTCCTACGGCTCTCGCAAATTGTCAACCGTTGCCAGCGCCACAAGTGCAACACCACGTACTGCTTGCGTGTGAGGAAGAGAACCGGTGACATCGCGAGGGATATGGAGGGCGCTGCTGCAGACATCGAGGCGGCCAACGCGGCCAATCCAGAGAGGGAGTGTCGTTTTGACTTCCCTCGTGCCTTGCGGGAGCTGGCTGCAGTTATCAGGAAGGAAGGAAGGTCGTACCACATCTTCGAGGCGGCGCGGAACGACAGCCTCATGAACCACTTCAATCCTGCTATCATCCTAGGCTGGCTAGCCAATATCGACATATCTCCTTGCACCAGCTTACAGGCGGTTATTACGTACGCTGCGAAGTATTGCAGCAAATCTGAGAAGAAGACTGAGCCTTACTGCAAACTTGCAGATCAGGTCTTGCCGCATACGGGACACCTTCAGCCCTTATTATCCTTCTCCTCTCGCCTTATGAACAAACTGATTGCCGAGAGGGATTACTCGGCGCAGGAGATTTCCCATCTGCTGCTTAACATCCCTCTGCAGGAAGGCACTCGGATGGTTGTCTCCGTCGACTGCCGTCCGTTGGAACAACATGCGCGTTCGTATCGGGTGGATGGAGATGTCAACGAGTCTATCGGCAACTACAGAAAATATCTGGAGAGAAGTGAGCAGCATGACCATGTAACCTACCTCGAGTACCTGCAGTCGTACAATCTCAACACGTGGAGGAGACTCGCTGCTAACGCGAAGAAAAGGGTCCTAGCCTACTTCCCTCGGTATAAGTCCACGGACGCTTCTCCCCAGTTTAATGACTTCTGCCGTGTTAAATTGATGATGGCTCATCCACATCGCTCTCCACAAGAGTTGCTCGTTATGAGCGGGCAGCAGTTTGATTCCTTCGCGGCTGCGTACAAGGGCTGCAGAGAGCACCATGACACCCATGCGGACGATCATTATGGGGAGCCAGATACAAATGAATTAAGGGCAGAGGACGATGAATTTGAGCCTGAGGTCCACGAGGAGCCCATTACCGAGGAGGACTGGCATGAACTCGCCCGCATGCTACCTGACCGCCCACTGGAGGAAGAGGATATTGACGTCCTCGGCCGCCGAGATATTGACATCAATTACGACTGGGCCCCTCACGTTGGACGGTATGCAGATGATGACATTCTCAACGGTGACTACTGGAAGCAGCGCAAAGTGGAAAACCCCATGGACCTTGATGTGGATGATCAGCCCTTGGAGGCTCGCGATTCCCTAAATCCCGAGCAGCGTCTAGTGTACGATACGGTGATGGGCCATTTCCTAACACAGGATCCCTCCCAGTTGTTACTCCATGTGGATGGTGGAGGCGGCACTGGCAAGTCATACCTCATCAACCTGCTCTCCGCGCACCTCCAAGCCGCGACGGGCGGGAGAGGGACACCTGTTTGGCGTGCCGCGCCCACGGGCGTCGCGGGAAACCAGATATCGGGCACTACCTTGCACTCCCTGTTGCACCTCCCAATCAATAAGGACTTCCGGCCCCTGTCGCCGATTGATAAGGCCCAGCTCCAGAAGAAGCTGAAGGATATCAAGTACCTGATCATCGATGAGAAGAGCATGCTAGGACTGCGTCAGCTATCGTGGATCGATGACCGTCTCCGCGAGGCGTTCCCGAGTAGGAATGAAGAGTTCTTTGGCGGCTTGAACATCCTGCTGGTCGGCGATTTCTTTCAACTACCCCCTGTGCTACAGAAGCCACTTTACTATGATAAAGAGGTGCAGGGGATAGAGATCAAGGGCAGGAACGCGTATAGGCGCTTCGATAAAACAGTATTCTTGAAGGTTGTTCAGCGACAGCGCGGCGACGACCAGGAGGCCTTTCGCACAGCTCTTGGGGAATTGCGGCTGCTCCAACTATCTAAAGAGTCCTGGAAGCTCCTTTCCAGCCGCGTACAGGCAAAGCTAGACGATCGGGAGGTCGCGAGATTCGTCAACGCCTTGCGAGTATACGCCACTAAAGATAGGGTGAACGAATATAACCACTATCACCTCGACCGCCTCAGCCGGCCGGTCATCCAGGTTACGGCTAAGAACGTCGGCCCTGGCGCTGCTGCTGCCCCTGACGACAAGGCGGGCAACCTTGCGAAGCAGATCCCTATATGCATTGGCGCCCGTCTGATGCTGACGTCTAACCTTTGGCAACCCGTTGGCCTCTGCAATGGCGCTCGCGGTACAGTTTACGACATCGGCTGGGCACCTGGGGCCGACCCCATCCAAGACCCTCCCTGTGTTATCATGATGGAGTTTGACAAATACAGCGGACCGGTATTCCTGACCACCGCTGATGGCAGGAAGATTGTGCCGATTCTCCCAGTGGAGAGGGACTTCCTCATCGGAGCCACTCTCTGCGCTCGCACCCAATTTCCCCTGATCGTATGCTACGCAATTACCGTGCACAAGTCACAAAGCATCACCGAAGACATGATAGTTACAGATCTGTCCTGCCGGGACTTTCAGACTGGTTTAAGCTACGTGGCTGTCTCTCGCGTGAAAAAGCTCGACGGTCTGATGTTGGATGCACCATTTGATCGTAATCACCTGGTCTACAGGTCTCCCCCGGATGGCATGAAGATGAAGATGAGGGATCAGGAGCTTCGGAAACGACAGGTGCTCACACGGAATCCGTACATGTCACATAATACCAAGAATGGCCATGGCAATGGATCAGTACGTAGATAATGCAGTAGTAATAATAGCTTCCCGGCCCGCGGACACACAGCCTTCGGCTGAGGCTACCCCATGCACCCCATCGCCGCTCCAATGTGCATGGGGTGACGTAGTATTTTATTATATTGTATATGTGTATTCTCCTCCCCTCTGTTAGATTGTGGCTGTGTATTGCATCAAGGAGGTTATTCAGGTATCAGAATACTGGGATATCTGCATCTATGACTGAAGATGACAATAAAACCCCACTCTGGAGGAACATGGAGACGGGAGTCAACGAGAACAAGAACATCAAGAACAACCAAACATATCATCAAGAATTGATCTACATTTATCTGGCTATCCCGAATCTTCACTAAAGACACACCGCGTATCCAACACCTTAGTCAGAAGGGGGGGTATGATAACCCCTCTTCCGACCGATCCGGATGACGAGGATAAGCAATCATCAACATCATCATCACTGTATTGATCCCTATCCATCTGATCGAATTGACCGTAACGGATCCAACAACCCCCAAATACATGAATATTCAATTAAAGCGAGAGGAATATTCCATATACAAGGTCATACAACAATTTTTCCCCCAGTACGCGTCATCTTTTCCCTGTCACATTCTCCATCAATACATATCAGCAAAAACACCAACTGTATTACACATGTCACCTCCAATTAACTCAACTGCCAAGCAACCATCAAATAAGGCTGCACTCACATCATGGGCTCTTACAAAAGCCCAATTAATACGGCCTGCAAAGGTGATAAGATGTCAAGAGCAGGCAACAGAGAGCCGTCTGTTACAGCTGAATACACGAGCTAGACAAGGGCGGTCTGCATCAACTGGCCTTGACTTAACCCGTACACAAAATATTGATGCACTACTCATCTATATTTATGGGACTTCACGCACATCTTCCTGTATGCAATGTGCGAGAGGAAATGGCATTTTTGAAGGGTGTATCACTAAGAGTGATATTGCTGCTGGTGCATGTGCGAACTGCACATATTCATCGAGAGGAATTCGATGTTCATATCATGGTAAGCTATTGAACCTTTCTTTATATAACAAATACTAATCAGAATATATTAGATCGGCCAAAAGAAACACAATTATCTCAGTCCATAATAGAGAAAATCGTGAAGGAGTCTACACCTGATCAACTACGTGCATTTGGAGCAGATCTAATTGAAAGAGCTAAGGTCCAAGAGGAACTTAGCTCCACACAGCCCGAAGAGTAACTAGTCTAGGGTTACGGGTGATGAGTCAGTGCTAATATTCTCTTTATTTAAAGTGAAAAGTTTTGCGTACGCAAATAATCCAACTTAATCCTTCTTTATTATTCTCTACTATGAATTCCACAATCTGTTCCAAGAAGGGTTATCTCCATTCTGTTGTATTGGAGTTAAACCCAGACTGGGCTCGTTGTTATTTCTGTGGAGATAATATTACACCTTTAACTCTTCCTTCTTCTGCCAATCCTCAAGTTAACATGGTCGATTTGACTGGAGACAGCCCAATCCCACCTACACAGGCACGATCACGACAACTCCAGCATGCACCTGCACCTGCAATGACTATCCCTTCCTACAATCCTGCTCAACTGGAATCCGCTGTCAATCAGGGCAACCAAAGCCGAAATCTCCACGCCCAAGCTACTCGAACGAAGCCGATACCTAATACACCCATTGAGTTGTCAATTACCTTATATACAGCAGCATATAAGTGTAAACCAAGCGGTCAATTGGAGATCAGGAAGTGGCAGCCTGGATCTCCTAGTGTTGCTACGAAAGTTAGCAATTGTTTTGTTACAAACGCAACACACAACTATCCTTCACATGCCGACTTTGTAAAGTCAGTTGCAGGACGTGCAACAACTGATGCAACATATCGGGCTGTTAACTGGGAGTTCATTTCTGCTTGCATCTGTAACAGTTCTCAAAGTATTGTTTTCTTTTCTCAGGAGGTTCTTGAGACAACTTCTCTTGCTGCATTTCTTACTGCAATCAATCCTCAAGGTCCGGTTCCAACCAAGGCCAATCTTTCACTTCTTTATGCTTATGAAGCGAAAGAGGAGGAATCTGACATGATCACTCCTGTTCCAGTGCAAAAGAATAAGTCAAAGGCGAAAAGAAACTATCTCTTCCTATACAAAGCAATCCCCCAACACAATCTCCAATCAATCGCAAACGAAAGGCATCTACACAAGCAGCTCCAACAACGGAGAGGAAGGTGAAGATAGACACGAAAAAGGAGGAGGTGTTGGTCTTACTAGAGAAGTCTAATGGAGAAGATGATTTTGCTGCATTCTTCGATACGGATGTGGATGGATCGGATTTGAATGGACGAGATGAAATAGTTGTGGAAGTAGCTGGGCAAGGTAATGAGGATTTAGAGGCATTTGTGTCAGATGATGGAAGTAGAGAAGTGATTGAGGGAGATGTAATTAGTACCGGGGGGAAGACTGGCAGTAAACAGCCACTGCCTCCATTAAGCATGGTAACTCGCCAGCGTAAGTAGTTTCAATCTTCTCAAGTCTTTTCCTTTATTGATCTGCTGCTATCCATGATTCAAACACATCAATATCGATATTCTGAGCCTGTAGAATTTGACTAAGTCGATCTCGCCCATCTCGGGGTCGGTCAAGTAAGGACAGTCGTGGTAAAGTCCCATTCTGAATATAAAGAGCCAATTCACCTCGTAGGAGATTGTACTCATCCAAAAGTGGATGTGTGACAACGTTCGATATTGCTGGTAAAGAGCCAATTGTCCTTGTGATAATATCTTGACAAATGGACATTGTTTCTTCTGGTAAGAAAACATCCAGATCAGATTGATCAAGATTAAAGGTTTCTTGACAGAATCTGAATCGATCGGGTGGAATCTCTTCAGCAAAGTTCCGTGCAGTCTCTGAATTGAGATCATGATATAGAACTGAGGGTTGTCCAGGTTGAACATGTGGTCGATTGGCTTGACGGCGAATAGAATGGCTATTCCAGACTCTTACAAATGATATCAAGTCATGCCGGATCGGATTCATAAGATGAATAGAATAGCAATGCGATCAGGGAGAGAGCCGCCATCAAAGAGCCCATTCTCTGTTAGCCATTGGAAGTAAAGTGGGGTTCCACAAGTCTTGCAACAGGGGATCTTGCACCACCACCCTGACCGGAACACACGTAATGGAGATACCAATTCCACAGGCTGCAGACTAGCTATGATAAAAGTAACTGTATTTTTGGATTCCTCAGAGGCGTGGCTTTAATATTTTGTATACCAACCCCTAGCCTTGCGGCAGGCCTCGACCCTCCGCGGCATTGACTCTATTAGGCCCCGAATAAAGTCCTGTGGGATAGCATCCCACGTTGCCTCCAAGCAGGCTTTAAATTTCGCGATATCGGCTGCGTTTTTCTTCAATTTCGCAACCCAAGGGAATTTTCTATAGAGATCTCTCTTTAATCTGGCCCAGACATGCTCAATGGGGTTCAAATCAGGGCTGTGAGGGGGCCAGTTAATAAGAGAGATTCCATGCTCCAGAAGAAATGCCATTGACGCCTTTGATATGTGAATTCTAGCATTATCCTGCTGGAAATGCCGAGCTCCCGTATAATCAGGAAGAAGCCCAGAAGTCAGAGCTTCAATATAGCTATTTGATGTATAGCCACCGCGCTTGGAGGCTGAATCCCGAGTCATAATAACCAGCTTGCTCCGGCCCTCCTTGCAAATCGCACCCCACACCATTATCGTCACATCACCTTTGCCGTGAGACTTAGTATTGACGAATTTTGGGTCATAGGCCTCGTGGGTGAATCTCCAGACCCAGATATTCGGCGCGGCGCTGCCATTTTGAGCAGAGCACTCATCAGAGTAGATAATCTAGGGAGTGTGAGTTAGGCGTAGAGTAGCAGACAAGGGCATCTCAAACACTCAGCCATACCTCGCTCAATTCTTCTTCTCTCTTCGCCCAGTTGCGTGAAAATTGAAGCCGCTGAGCTGCATCTTCCTTTCGTAAAAAGATCCTCTTTCTAGCCTTCCATTTGCGCAAGCTGGCCTCATTTAAAGCCCGGCGGACAGTCGTGGCGCTCACCTCAAGACTCAGGTCATCCAGCAGGTCCTTCCTTGAGACACGTTCATCCTGTCGCACAGCATGAATAATAGCCCTTTTTGCCCGTGGCGTCAGACTTGGAGGGCGCCCGGACTGGGGCTTCGGATCGATAGATGCGGTTGTCTCAAGCCGTTGAAGCAGACGGCTGATTGTGGCCGTTGACACCCCAAAACGCGTCGCAACGGTGCTCCTTGCCTCTCCAGCTTGTACGGCCGCAATAATAGCCGCACGAAGTTCTGGTTTGGTGCGTTGCTTTCCTTGACGATTTGCGGATATAATGGTCCCAAAAGACCGCAAATTGGTCGACATAATAAAATTTTGTGGAAGATTGAAGATGAAGGAGTAAAAATCGCGGTTCTGATTTTTGACGCCGGGCGCGAGAATGTCGCGTAGCGTTGCAAGACTTGTGGAACCCCACTTTATGTCTAATCGAAGAGAATTAGTAAAGATCAATAAGAAATAGTAGAAACTTACCCTCCATGATCCTCCACGTGCTTGATAAAGCCGATGCCACCAGCTTTCAATTCGAGTATTATGAATACTCCGTCCAAAAAACCAACAATCCTTGAACTCAATTGGAACTAACTCTGTTCCAATTCGTTTCTTTCGATTCCCAGAAAGAAAGTAATGTAAGCCACACATCAGAGCTGTTTCCCCTCCATGATCAGATCGAATGGCTCGTGGCATCATACCACGCTGCCGCAGAACTGATAGATACTGTAAAGCAACATTCCAACTTGTTGCAGCAGAATATCCACAGTAAAACCATGTAATATATCGGGCATACCCATCAATACCAGCATAGATCTCAAAGCCCCATTGCTTAAGCTTATCATACCCATCAAGGGACCATACCCAGTCAGGCCCTGGAACAATGAAGTCACGACGTTGAAAACGCGCTTTACCCCATCGATCAGTAATGCTTTCAGGTGCAAAGTCTCGATAGACAGTGTACAATGCATCGCGACTGATAACATGATGTTGTTGCCACATGTATGTGTAAAGATAGCCTCGACCAAAGTTTTGAATGACAGTTGAGACTTGAGACTCATCATGAAAGAAAGTTCTTGCAAGTTGTTGAGCTATTTGAAGCTGGTTATTGTCTTGCCGCCTGAACAGGCCGAGTTCCCGACGGATCTTGCAAAGTCCAGTCATACTCAAGATAAACCCCTCATCTTGAAGCCGGCGTAGGATAATAGCATCTTTTAAACAGTCATCAAAGAACATTGACTTGATTCGCTCTCGTAGGGGTTCAGTATTAACTGTACGTTGTTGATGTACAAGTTCACATTGCTGTAAGAATCGGTACAGGACTGAGCGACTGACTTGAATATTATAATTGGTAGAAAGAGAAAGAATAATACCAGAGATTGGGGTATTTTCTTCATGAAGAATAGTGATATCTTGACGGAAAGGGTTAAGATCTGTTCGAGGTCGAGGCATGTTGATTAAGGTTGAAAAGGAGAAGAAAAAGAGGAAAAGATAAGTAAGAATGGAGATAACGTACATGATAAGCATGCGCCGCATCCAAGTATGCGCCGCACTTTTCCTAACCCTTTAAGATTAAAACTTCAATAAAAACACAACAAAGCATCCAATCAATTAAAACTAATCACTATACTCTTCTCCAGAGGTCTCAATTACAGCCTGACAAGTCCTTGCATTATGACCAGCCTTTCCACAAGTTCCACAGCGCCTTTCCTTCGGTAGCGCCAACCTCCGTCGACCACCACTTCTCGACGATTCAGCCACTACCTGCGCATCAACGTCTCTCTGATCTATCGCATCCCTTCCCTCATCTAGAGTCATATTCCCTCCTTTTTGTAGGCGGGTTCTTTTTGCTCTACGCCGCTTACTAAGAGTCTCATTCGCCTGTCGAAGGATCTGGACCTCAGCTTTCAATAGGGCATTCTGATGCATTATTGCCTTTGTTCCTTTTGAAAGTGACTTAAGCGCCTCAAGAATTGATGCTGGAGAGCTGCTCTGATGCCTTTTCATTCGTCTTTCGAGGTATTCAGACTGAGAGCTAGCCTCAAGCACGGTCTTTGGGGTCTTCGAGACCCAAGGGTCGGGGAGGCTGATCTCCTCCCTCACTGGTGTTGGAGTCCGTAGCTGTACATCAAGCTTCGATATGACATTTTCTGGGTTCAAGGGAATAAGTCCGGCCCCTCGAAAACCTCCCTCAATATTACTCCTTGTCATGGCGGCTTCGTGGGCAGCGTAGAAGGCTGGGAAGAACTCGGTCTTCGAAACATGAGTTATGGAGCATCTGATCAATTGCTCAATTGCTTGACCATAGGCTATTTTAAGCGGCCCAAAGCACCCGACATCAAGAGGCTGGAGCAGATGAGATGAATGAGGCGGCATACAAAGCGTAATGATGTCGTTCTCTTCACAATATTTCTCAAAGTCGACGGAGTGGTGACTTTCATGCCCATCGAGGATTAGAAGACGATAGCGACCGGTCGATCGATCCTTTGTATGCCGATTAAAGTGCTTGAGCCACTTAAGACCTGTCTCATTATTGGTCCAGCCATTTTGAGTTGTTGCAATAGCCCAATCGCCCGGGAGGTTGCTTTCTTGGTACCAGTTGGCGAGGTGATATTGGCCCGCAACCACGATAAATGGCTGGATTGCCCAGCCTTCCGCATTAATCGCCTGAATGACTGTAACCCATTCCCGGTTTCCAGGCTGGACTGATTTCGGGTTTCCACGCCTATCTGCGCCTGTGATGACCATTCCGCTTGCGATTATGCCCATCATAAAGCCGGTCTCATCAAAGTTGTAGATATCGGCTAGGTCGATACCATATTTCGCGATTGTATTCTCCACGAGCCGGAACCAATTGCGAATAATGGTTGGATCTTCGCATTTGGCCCTCTGATAGTCGTATTTACGAAAAAAACGCGTCTTAAGCTCTGGTTGTCGCCTGACGAAGTTAGAAGCCCAGCGCTTGCCGACAGGTGACGCGTCGCGGTCAGCGAGCAGTCGGTTGGCCATTTCTTCAACACCACGCAGTCGCGGGGCAAATCCTCGCGAATCCAGGTCGAGAATGAACTGAACAATGATCTGTTCCTCTAGATCAGATAGACGACGCGATTTCGGGATCCAATCGCGTCGAGATTGAATGCCATTCTGTCGGCGACGTAGCCTTCGCTCATCTATTTCGTATATCAATGCGGCGCGTCGGATACTTAATTTTGGGTCGTTTTGAAGGGCTTGAAGGGCAAGAAGGGTTCTAGCTTCAGTAGTTTGCTGTGGCATGTTTGGTGGTTGAAATTGAATTGATAATATAGAGAGTTATGTGTTTGAGGGAAAAGTGCGGCGCATACTTGGATGCGGCGCATGCTTATCATGTACGTTACGTTAATTTAATATAATTTTAAGTTGCAGTAAATGAAGGTCAGGCAGGATTTAGTAACACAAAGTTTCCCAGCTGATACAGCGTTTCTGGACCAACCTCGGGACAAGGTTGGTAGGCGGTCTCGCCCTACAATGCCAACAGGTAAAAAACAAATACCATATATTAGGTTCTCTCATTCCAGGACCGATCTTTATTTTCACTACTCTTTTATAATTTCTGTCCAAAGTGTAGTAAAGCTGTCCAGAAAATCACTAAAACTCTTAGTTGGCTTCCAACCTATTTCACGGGACAGATCAGCTTTAGTTCTTGACCGAGATGCCCATCCAAGCTCAATAATATCAGGCTCCATTGATTGTATCAGCTTTATTGATCCTTCCTCGAGCGTGATTTGGCGGATTTCGTGACTTGGCAAAATGCCTAGCTCTTTTCCCGTCCTTGCGATGTGTTCGGATACAGCTCTCCAGGATTCGTAACCCGTCTCACTGAAGTATATGCCCCGTTTGTTTGATGGCAGGTCCAACCCCTCCAGGATTCTTGTGACAAGTAGTTCGTATAGCAGACCTATGTCCTCAATATGGACATGACTCCACTCTGATTCGCCAGAACCTACCACACTGACGTACTTATCGTCGCGGGCAGCGCGAATCAAGGCTTCAATCTGCATAGATTTCTGATTGATCATCCCGCTGCCTAGGCCGTAAATGGTAGGCGACATAACAATGTACGTTTTGACGCCTGTGTTTTCGCCATGCTCCATCACTGTGACATCAGTCGTCCTCTGGGGAAATGGCTCGATGCTCTCGCGATATTTCTCATACTCGTAAATGTTGTCTTTGTCAGAGAACACTTTCGTCTCAATGAAGCGCTTGCTGACGGGACGGTCGGCTAAGCTACCTGTTCCAGATGTCTGCGCATATTAGTGCCGCCCGACGAAAGTTGAAGTCTAACGAACTTGGATGAGGTGGGTTTGCTTTTCTGCCGCCGTTTTGCGGTCTCCAAGCCCATCAATGATAGATTTTGCCGCAGGGGTGTTGAATGTGCTTGCAGTATTTATAACAATATCGTGGCGGGCTGCAACCTCTCGCACCCTATCCAAATCATCCAAACCAGAGAACATCGCCACGTTAATGCCTCTACGACGGAGGGTATCGGCCTGCGGCTCGTGACGGACCAGGGCAGTGAATTCACATTCCCTAATGCGTGGGTGGGAGGAGTTCATCAAAGTGGTGAGCACAGAGCCTCCACTGTACTTCGTAAGTATAAAAGAATCCAAATCGCTATGGGATGGACTTACATATAGCCAGAGGCACCAATAACCAAAATCTTGCATGTGTCCATTTTGTTCAGGGCTTGAAGGAAGTATCAGGTTGAATGGATATTGATACATCAGTTTTTAGGGACAAATAGGATGTAAATATAAGTAAAAACTCGATAATAGACACGGTGTGAGAATTCTAATTTTATTGTGATTTGAAATCAAAATGTAATTATTAATCAATACATGAGATAAGTATGACGTGTCAGTTTCAAGGCAAGAGAATATATCGGGCCGAGTTATAGTGGGCTACAAAAGTTCCGAGGATTTCCCATGCCCCGGAGCTTAACAGCGACACCTTTAAAATATTCTCGAAGAACTCAATTCATGCTGCCTAAGATGGCTTTTACCCGTTGGTATTGTGGGCCAGCCGCCTACCAACCTCGTCCCGAGGTTGGTCCCAAAACCCCTTGTCAGCCCCAAAACCCCTTATCCCCCTTCAAGGTGTAAAATCCCTATTTTCTCCCCTTTTTTGACCTTCTTTTCTACCTTTAATAAAGATATATAAAATCTTTAAAAAAGAAATCTAGATTAAACAGATCTAGAGCTTTAAAATACATATCAGATTTTAAATTTTTCTCCTTTTATTAAAAAAAAAGGAAAAATGAAAGATTTTTCTAAAATTTTAATAGAAATAAATTGTTGGATTTAGGCAGCATGCATAGCATCTTAGTCATTGAGAGCCCACATGTATGTGTATTGTGCATATTGTCATCTAGGCTGACCCCGCAGCAGTCAGGGGTATTATATGCGCAGTTGACCGCCTTCCTATTCGGGCTGTGCTCGGCATGGTCACTCAAGTGACCGAGGTCACCTGATCATGTGCATGACTGTGCGCACGATCTATTCTAACACGCCCCTTCAGCTTCGCGGTCCTGCCGCGGAGCTGCACTTTGCTTCATAGCTCCTGTGCCCTTTCCTCAGTTCTTCTCTGTTCAATCTTATCCGTCAAGTCGATCAGCTTCAGTTGCTTGAGGAAGCCCGAGTGGCCGTCTCCTGAGAGGTTCTTCGTTAATCCGTCGGCGAGCATTCGGGTAGTAGGCGTGTAGATGACATTAACTCTTTCTTCGATGATTTCTTGGCGTAGCCAATGGTTGTGAATGTCAACATGCTTGAGCTTCGTGCGTAGTTGTACTAGTTCTGCAGTGACAAGGCGGATAGTCTGCTTATTGTCGCATTCGATTGTGATCCTTGCTGGTGTTGCTGCTGCTCGGCGAGCAGTCGGAGAGTTCAGGTCAACCTTCAATGCAGAGATAAGTCGGCTTGCAAAGAGAGCTTCCTTGGCTGCTTGGGAAAGCGCCAGGAGCTCTGCCTCTGTTGTTGACGTTGTAACTGTATCCTGTTTGTTGGCTCTCCAGGAAGTGATCCCGCCGAAGAGCTTCATGACGAATGCCTGAGAACTCCGACGATCCGTTGAGTTATCGGCGAAGCTAGCATCTGAGGCAACTTGCAGTCCGTCTTCTTCACTGCCGGCCGCAGCTCCGTATTCAAGGCAGAGACCCTTTGTTTGTATGAGGTATTGCAGGGCTCTGTCGGCGGCTCTTTGTTGCTGCGGTCCGGGGTTCTGGTTGAACCTAGCTAGTCGGCTTGCAGCAAAAGCTATGTCTGGTCGAGTCATCACTGCCGCGTACATGATCGTGCCGACCTTCCTGAGGTATAGGTTGACGCTGCTGGGGCTCGCTATTGTGTCATGTGGCAGAAGTTCTTCGCGAATCATGGGGGTTACCGTCGTCAGGTTCGGCGAGTCTTCGGGGAGCAGGCGGCGCATTTTATCGATATAAACAGCCTGTGACAACCACAGCTTTCTTGCTCTGCGATCCCGGATGACCTCGATCCCTAGGAACCATTGAAGTGGCTTGCCTCCTTCAATATTGTACGTTGTCTGTAGTTCTGCCATCAGCGACATTGCCTTGCTCTTGATGCGCTTAGGGAAACAGAGAACACAGTCATCCACGTAGAAGAAGAAGATGATATCTCCATGAAGCCAACAGCAGTCCTCGCCAGGCACTCGGCGAAAGCCTGCTTGCAGCAAGCCCTTTTCGAAGTGCTTTTGCCACAGCAGTGGTGATCGCCGAAGACCATAGAGAGCTTTCTGTAGCTTCAGAATCCTTCCTGGCTTCCTGTATCCCGCAGGCATTTGCATATAAATATCCTCATCCAGCTTTGCATGTACAAATGCATTGACTGCATCGTATTGCAACATATCGTAGTCGAATCGGTTGGCTAGGGCCATGAGGGTTCTGAATGACATGCCCGCCAAAGTTGCTGCGTAGGTCTCTCGGCCATCGATCGCTTGCTGGTCGCCGCGTATAACGAGGCGCGCTTTTATCTTCACGAATCTGCCGTGTTTGTCAAGTTTATAGACGTAGACCCAGTGGCAGCCGAGCACTCGTCGGCCTTTAGCCGAGGCTTTTGCGACTTCGATCCACGATTGGGAATCTGCATGACTTTGTAAATGTATTCTTTCTGCTTCAAGAAGAGCCTCCCGGTAGGGATGGCTTGCTATAGTCGCGTGCGAGCTGGGAAGGGTCTGCAACAGACGCCACGGTGTATTTACGCATGGCGGCCTTTCCCCCCCAGATACAGGGCTCTCCATCTGTAGAGGTTTTTGTGCCACTGCTGACGCAGGGCTCTCTAATCTCGGAGGTTTTTGCGCACCTATATCCTTCGTGATCTGAGGGCAGACTTGTCTTCCCCCGCCGAGTGCTCGCCTAGGGCTGGCCAGGCCTTCGCCGAACACTCTGCGGTTACTCGTGCGATGCTTGGGCGACTGGAGTCTCCCAGCTAGAAACGCAGCCTTGAAAGACTCACGCTGCTTCGCTGGTCGATCGGCGAGATCACTTTGGACCTTCCGAGCCTCACTTTGTCGATTTGCGAGTTGGTATGCGGAGCTCTCCTTGTTTTTATTCGGAGCATATTGCGTACCCGCTTCCAACTCGTGCTTGGCCGCTTCCCCACGCCCCTTCACACCTAGACCAGAGGCCAAGGTGTGGAAAAACGCGGCTGGCGGTGATAGGGGAGGTGTTGGGAGAGGTTCAAACTTAGCTGTGGTGTATTCATATGCCCCTTCAGATTCGGGCACTTTGCCAACAGCCTCGCAATTACTCGGCGAGTGTTCTCCAAACAGGTCATCGTTGTCTTCCCCTATTACTTCATCTGCTTCTTCATCAGGTGGCTGTGATAGCCACTGCTCAGCTTGTGCTTGTATCGCTACAAGTTCTTCGATGCGTTGTCGGATAGCTTCGAGGTTCTGTTGCCTTAAATCGTCTCGAAGACTCTCTGTCCGTCCGTCGAACAGTTGCTGCTCGTTGAATGAGACGTCTCTTGTTGTAAAGACTTCCTTATGCAAGGGGTTCCAGACTCTGAATGAGTTGCTTGACGTATAGCCCACTAGGAAGCCGATCCACGCCCTCGGAGCCTGCCTTTGAAGCCGGTTTCTTCGCAATTGTGCATCTGCAGTCAATGCAAAGACCTTGCAGCCGTATGCTCGAAGGTGTGAGAGGTCGGGCTTCGCTGAGTGGTCGCCGCGGAATTGGCGATGGAACAACTCGTACGGAGTCTTTCTGTTTCTGTGAATTGAGGGTGTACGATTATAAAGGTAGGTAGCAGCTTTGATCGATTCCGGCCACAGATATTCAGGCAACTTAGCTCCTGCACGCATTGCGCGGCTTTTCAGTATGATGACTGCAGCGATGCGTTCTGCCCCCCCGTTTTGTGCTTGAGTATTCGGGGCCGAAGGCTCGGCGCGTATTCCCCGAGCGGTCAGCAGCTCAGCGACTTGCGGATGTATTTCTGTTATCTCATTATCGCACTCAAACACTTTGACCTTAATGGAGTATTGCACCTCCAACATCTTGAGGAAGTGAGTGATCGCTGTGCGGATAGCGAGCGTTGAGCGATTGTCGGCATAGTAGTCCCATGAGTACCCTGTTGCTCGGTCCGTGAAGATCCATACAGACGTATAGCCTGCATAGCCTGGGGTCATCGGATGGAAATCTAGGGCTATTCGTTCTCCTGGTTTTGCTTGCGCTGTTGCTTCTCGGGGTGCTCTGCGGATCGCTCGGCAAGCCTTCGCTACACCACATGCATCGCAGTCCACAGTCGTTATTCGTTCACGGCCTTCAGGCTCGTGCATCTTCAGCCTGACGCCCCTTGAGGCCGTTATAAGGCAACGCAGGGAGTCTGGGCCTGGATGGCCGAGTCGTCGGTGCCAAGTCATTGTGTCCCCTAGCATTGGCTTTCTCGGAGTCCATGTTGTAAAGCGAGACTTCTTCTGTGGCTTGTCTGCTGTCATTGCCGCCGTGTGCTCCACGACCCTTCTCCGAGCGTTTGGCGAGTCTAACGCTCCATCTTTCCATTCTAAGACTTGTTGCCCTTGCTTCTCGTCGATAGTGCCTAAGAAGGACCCATCTGATCTCCGCAGACAGTTGTTACCTGGTCTAGTATCCCACCAAAGGCCTCGCTGTCTCAGCTTCGAGAATGAGACGAGGTTCGTGGTAAGGGATTTACACAGGGCAACGTCATAGAGAGTGAGCCTTATCGGCGAGCCATCGGCATCTGCTAGGGTAATAGTCGCTTCACCGTAACCGTCGATTGGCACTTGGGTAGTTCCTGACCAAAAGAAATCTCCTGGTTGGGCTGCTCGCAGGTTTTTCATTCGGCTTGTATCTCGGAAGATATGCAGGGTTGCTCCTGAGTCTAGGAGAACACAGTTTTGTAATGCGTAGTAGATGCCGGCTACTAGTTCAGCGTTCGTCATGCAATCCCTGATGATTAGGGCTGCGTTCGCTGTACAGGTGCCGACAGGTCGTAGTCAGGCTGATTTCTCTAGCTTGATCTTTCTGATCCGTCCGACTAGGTCGTCTTCGTTCTCTTCTAGCCGCTTGTTGAACCTTTCGGTTACATGGGACCGCGGTTCGAACCAGTCAGGTCTGTTCTCTGGAAAGGCGTAGAAGCAACGTGATAGTGGATGGAGTTGACAGCATGCTGGGCACTTGGCTTCTTTATCCGATCCAATGCTCTGACGCCGTCTCTTCTTGGTGTTTGTTCGTCGAGCATTCGTCGAGCTATCGGCCTCTTCTTGTGTGCCTCCTCCGCCGTGGAAGGCTCCCTGACTCACTCTTCCTCGCCGTGGGGTCTCCGGCCGTTTAGCGATCTCTCGGCGAATGTCTGCCATGACTGGGCCGACTGTTAAAGTACCTGCTCGGACTTGAGCTATCTGCATGACGCTGTATGCATCTGTCCAAGCCTGTAGGTGCGTTGACTGAAGAGCTGTTGTGAGGTCTCCAAGCCACTGATCGGGTTCTATTGCCTCTTGGAGGCCAACATCCTGAGCCTCGTTGATAGCATTCCGCCATCGCTTAAGCCAATCGGCTGCAGCAGTGTTGGTCTTGATCTTTCCTTGGAGTGGTTCTCCCAAGATCTCGCGGTATGCTCGGCGAGCCCTCTGCTTCCGCTGTTCGGTTGCTAGAGCAAACTCGTCATAGATTGACTGAATCCACTCAGGCAAACTGGTCTCTGGCTTGCAGTGATGCCGAGAGAGGGGTTCATCAAGCGTCTCAAGGACCCAGTTCCTTACGTTCTTTGTTCTGGTTTGGAATTCCTTGTGGCGCTTATTGCGGTGTTCGTAGTTGGCCCATAAGGCGTTGTACACTCGGAGACCCTTCTCGGGCAGCTCGCTGACATCTTGAGCCTTTAGCGTCATGTCGTCTTCATCACCAAGAGTGGGGTCTTCATCATCGGTCACGGCCGTAATGGTCTCGGTGTGATCGCTAGAGACTTGTGATTGCTCGGCGAGCCTTGAGCGAGTGATTAACGCTGGCTTCTTCTTGAATTGAGTGATATCCGGTGGAATTGGGGCCTTTGAGATCAGCTCCGGTTTGTTCTTCTTCTCAGGGTCAAGATAGTCCCAGAGGTCTTCGTTCATAGCTGTAGTCTTCAGGGTCTTGAACCACGTGATCCAATCCTCGTCTGTGACTAGCTCGATGCTTGTGGCGGTCGCCATGCTTTCGGCGACTGCTCGTCGGGCGCTCGTGGACAGCCTGCTGCCTAAAGCGGTAATTGCTGGTAGATATGATTGCGTATGAGACTCTTAATTGTTGGATTTAGGCAGCATGCATAGCATCTTAGTCATTGAGAGCCCACATGTATGTGTATTGTGCATATTGTCATCTAGGCTGACCCCGCAGCAGTCAGGGGTATTATATGCGCAGTTGACCGCCTTCCTATTCGGGCTGTGCTCGGCATGGTCACTCAAGTGACCGAGGTCACCTGATCATGTGCATGACTGTGCGCACGATCTATTCTAACACCTTGAGACACTCTAAAGGATAGCCTGCCGTACACGCCACAGTACCCGGGGGGCTGACTTTAGCACACGTGATCGCAGGCTCCACTGGGAGCTAAAGGCTCCCCCCTCTCCCTTGGAGAGGGGGCAACATTACCCGTAACCGCGTCGCATTCGTAACCGACTTTTTCAGACTCTGTATAAGCCAGTTGCTTCAATTTAAGCCCAATCTCTTTAAAATTCGGATCCTATAATATCCAAGTTTCAATCTCATTATGGCCAAAATTTCAGAAAAATCCCATTCAGCTGCGGCTCGTGCAGCCTGTGCCTATCTGGCCGGTGATGCGGTTACACGGACGACTCGTAGGAACCCCACTTTGCCTCGCAAATTGACCGTTATTGAAACCGCCTCTCACTACCACACCAACACATCTCTTGTGAAGAAATATATATCGTTGTTAAAAGCGGGAAAAGCTCTTCCTTCTGGTAACAAAGGTAGCCAGCCGCCGGCTCTTACGGCGGCGGAGGAACGAGCTTTAGTTACCTTCATCAGGACCGTTGAAAAGAGCGCATTTGCAGTCACAGAGCCCGCCATCCGCAACTACGCCAGTTTCCTACGAAAACATCGTCTCGAGGGTCCTAGGACTACGGTCTGAAAGGCGTGGGTCCAGCGGTTTAAAAAGCGTCATCCTGAGCTACAGTATAAGACCCCAAAGGTCAAGGAAGTCATCCGTGCTGGCGCCGAGCTCAATATTCTAAGACTAGAAGACTGGTTCAAGGAATTTGAAGCTGTTATAACTGGAAAGTCGATTATAAGGTCCAATTTTTGGAATTTTGATAAGACCCCTCTTCAGGTTGGATGGATTGATAGCAGCTTCAAGCTCTTCTCAACCCGAATGAAGGGAAAAACTCATATTGTTGGAGATCACAAGTGTGTGGCGACCAAGTCGGTGGCAAGGTGTGGAAGAAGGTGGAGCTTTCCACAAGAGATCGTGCCTGTATATAAACAGTAGTTCCCTTACTGCACATTCAGTATGAACAAAAAAGAAATATAAATCTTCTCATTTCAACACATATCGTTACCTTTCAACCCGGTAATAAAGACTCACTATTGTGAAGGGCTGGACAGGAGTTTGTTCAACAGGCTGTTGCCGTAGGATTGTCTATCTAAAGCTAAAGAGAAGGAAGAAAGGGGCAACATAGCTACTGGCTAGTAGATAAGTAAGTAAGGCCCCTGAGTGTGGTGAGTTGGCTAAACCTCGAGTAGTTAGGTCCGGCACAGCCGGAATCCTTGTACCAGGCCTCAGCCTGTAACAACTATCAGCTGTAGATGCAATTAATGCAGCTGGGCTAGCAATACCTTCTTTTCTTATCCTGATAGCAAAGGTGTTGCTAGAAGAATACATTATAGCTGATATCGATGACCGGGTAGTCCTGACACATACATCTTCCGGCTTCAATAATGTAACGGGCTGTGCCCGTAGGTGGCCTCGGGAACCCTCGGCCTTTCGTGGCCCACTTTTTACCTTTAAGCCACCATGACGAGTATATTTATGGATGGAGCTCCTCTACTCTCTTTCTCTTCTCCTTCTTTCCTTAAGTTTAGTATACTCTGTAGAGTGGCCTAGCTAGTTGCAATACACTACCTTGAGACCGTTACAAATAACGCACAACAGGCCCGGCAGTGGCTACAGCACTTTAATTATCACTCCTTTGACTGCAGCGATAACTTCAATGACTTCTCTATTGAGACCTGGTTTAGCTACAGTCCTGACCTCACAAGGGAAAGCTGGAACCAGGAATTAGTATATTCTGCCTCTCAGATGACCAGAAAGGCAGAGCCTATTTATCGGCTGCTTCTGATGGACGGTTTTTCTGCTCATGAAGACCCTGATTTTATCTGGTATTGTCATATGTTTGACATCATCCCCTTCCGCCTTCCTTCTCATACAAGTTATCTTCTTCAACCTCTTGACATTGGGGTCTATCAGCATCTCAAAAAGGAACAACGGCACGCTCTCAATGACTTCCTTATTGCCGGCGGCACTCAGATATCCCGATATGACTTCCTTAATCAATGGAACCAGCTGTACAGCGCAGCATTTAAGGCATGCTATATATATGTTGGATTCGAAAAAGCCGGCCTCATGCCCTTCAATCCAGAGCTTGTCCTAGGACCCCTACGTCAGGCTGCTATGGATAAGGAAGAGCCGTTATTCCCTAAGCGTTTACAGAGAGATGCTGTTACGCCTCGAAAGGCAAAGAAAGATCTGCATTTAATCCGAGATAAATTGCATATCTTAAGCAGCCCAACGCGGGCTGTTATTACACATGCAGAAGCTGCTTTAGACCTCTCTATCATCACAATATCATCGCATCAGAAGATCATTAGGCTTCAGAAAGAACGGATCAGACTGGAAGCCCGGCGTACGCACACAAGGCGTCGAATTCGAGTTGATGATGGGGCATATACTGTGGACCAGTTACGTCAGAAAGTCAACGCTCGGAGTCATGAAGAGCGGGCTGCAGCTGCTAGGAAGGAAGGCTGGTTACAAGCAGAGCTTTTCCGCGAGCTTCGTGAAAAAGAGGCTGACCAAGGCAGTAGTGAGGCTGCTAGTTTGGCGGGCAGATTTGGACTCTTGGGCTAGATGGTTGCTAGCAGGGATGTAATAGGGATAAGTAGGGGAGGAAGCTGCCCACAGCTTCCAGGGAGGATCATCTTTTTTCATCATCATCGAGAGACTCTGTGACGGGAACGTCCGGAGTGCTGGACCCAGGGCAGGGCTCCTAATAGTGCAGACCATTTACACTATTAGTGCAGACTACAATCCAAGATCAATAATCAATCCACGACGGGCGTTCGTGGATTGACGACTAGGATGATGCGCCCCTTGAAACGAGCCTTGTTGATCCGGATCGCACCAGTGAATTGATCAGAAATATCCAAAACAAAGTGGTTGGCACAGCAACAATCATGGGTACCCTGGTTTTGTAACACCATGCCAACAACCTAGCGTACTTAGCGTCCACACCGGGCGTCCGTATTCCCTGCCCTGATCTGCAGTCTGCACTAATAGTCTAAATGGTCTGCACTATTAGGAGCCCTGACCCAGGGTGGGGTCGATATGTAACTAGGGCGCACGGGGCAGGCCACAGGGACTATCAATGCGTCTACGCGTCTACGCGCCTGCCCGCTTTCTCTCTTTCCTCTCCATCGTAGTATTCTCGCAATACAGTGGTATTACCTCTTGAGTTGATCTCATCCGGCCCGTGACAGACTCAAGAGACATCAGTCTCTATTAGAGGCTGTATCTCTCTATCGAGAGATTGCTTGTATTACTTTTGGTATTGAAGATTATTGCCCTTTCATTCTAAAGGTCCCTTCGTGCCTATTCCTACGTCTTATCCGATCCTTGTCCAACCTCAGTCTTCGACCTCACCAGATATTGACCCTGCCATGCGATCAATCGATGCCTTGCCACTGTCCTTTATCGCAATAAGGTCAATATATCATCTCATGAGATGCTTCACTATCTAGTGGGACAAATCGCAGACCTGTCGGACCTCATACGCGTAGTCGGGTGCAGCTTCGGGCTGACCTCACAAGACGCCTGCGGCGACACATCTCTGTGCATCACCCCTCTATAGTGAGGTGGTCGAGTTGGGTGTTGGTCTCGTCCCTTTCCGCCGCTAAACTAGCCGGCCTCGTCTTCGAGGCCGCACAGCTGCTATTGCAAAGGCAGCCCGGCAGGCGGAAGAAGAAGCCCAGATGGAGGAACTAAGAGAGAGACACCGGCTGTCATACGATAATGATGCTATTGAAAAGCTATCACAGCAGTGGGCTGATGCTGATGACCAACAGCGGTCACATCTCTATACAACACAGCCGCTTTCGAATCTCTTAGCGATCCCTGCTGTAGTCACTTAGAAGGAGGAAAAAGATGCTAGGTCACCTGATCAAGCCGAAAGCCCGGATACCGTCATCCATGATGATTTTATCTCGGTAGCTTCATCAATCAAGCTGCCGTCTTTGCCGCAGGAAGGAGAGTCAGATAGTGACAATATTGAGATCATTACCTCCGTACAGATTGAGTCTACAACCCGGCGTATTTTCAATATCGAGAATATGCCATTTGCAGACGAAATAGCTGAGGAAAATGAGGCACAGTTACAGACTGTAGATTACGGCGGATTTGGCTATAATCGGGCTCCTAATCGTTATTCAGATGACGAGGTTGAGCCAGAAATCGCAATTGGCGGCACATAGGTTACTGTGCCAAAGTCGCGGCGGCGGACATAGGGTCTAGATATATCAATTGACTACAACACTATCTGTCAATAAAAATAACCCAATTTGTGATATATGATTATTTCGAGCTATAGCTACATAATGATATATTTACTTTTTAAATTGGCTCCCTGCTTGCTGGTGTATTGCATCGTTAAAGTTGAAAAAGGCGGTTACGAATGCGACGCGGTTACGGGTAATGTTGCCCCCTCTCCCTTGGAGAGGGGGGGGCCAAGGCGGAACGCTTAGTCAACCCCCCGGGTATCCGCCGAAAAAAAATACAAATAAAAAGGTTCGAGACCCGGTTCTCCACACTGCACCCTTCCCCAGACACCACCTCGAGAGGGACGAGCCTCATCCACCTTCCGGGAACCTCGTCTGCGGAGCTTTGCAAGCTGCACTGTATTGTGCCTGAGTGTCCGCTCGTTTGCCTCGCCGCCTCGCAAACTTGGCATCTTCTCATCGGCAATCTTGACTTGATCTTGTCCTCAGCCCTGCTCCCAAGTTCTGTCTGGTTCACCCTGGATTCTGTCGCGGCTTCATCACGACGGTCACACCCAGCACGTGTCTACTGAGAGTAGCATGGACGGCTCGCAGCATCCCACCAATAGTGTAAACGAGACTCCGCCTGGTCAAACTTATCCTTCGCCCACCGCCATGACGTCCAACCAGCGGCAAACCGGCCCTCCCCTCTCTCAGACCCTTCCTCCGTTGCAGCCTTCCGCCTTAGCAATGCAGCCCCTCTACGTCAGCCACCCGCACACGCCGCGCACCCCAGGCACGCCCAACGCACCTGAATCCACCAACAACCTCCCTAGCTACCAGCAGACGTCGCAGCCCGGAGGACGCGGTGGGATCTACTCAATGCCTCAGAGCCAGTACCGTTTTCCCCAGGCGATGACCACCGCGTCGCACCCGCAGCCCATTGCTCCCGCGCCCGTCAGTGGTCGAGGGCCTCCTGTCTTGCTCCCGATGCCTCCTGGTGGCATCATGCCTCAGCCCGGCGTCTCTTCGCCATACGGACCCAGCTCGATGATGCAACCCAACTCGGTTCTCCAGCACGAGGGCGAACAGCCTACTCACGTTGTTGGCTCTCAGGGCCGACGCGGTATCCTGCCCAGCGCTCCCGGCCGACCTGCCGCTCCTGCCGCTGGCACCGGCGGTACTATGAACACGGTTATTCCTGTCAAGAACGCCGATGGGAAGCTTCCTTGCCCCCATTGCACAAAGGCCTACCTCCACGCGAAGCATTTGAAGCGTCACCTTCTGCGACGTAAGTATTCGCGAGCCTTACTTGCCCGTCAACCGGCTAACGCATATTTTTTTCTTTCTCTTACAGACACCGGCGACCGCCCCTACATGTGTGTGCTTTGCCGCGATACGTTTTCTCGAAGTGATATCCTAAAGCGTCACTTCCAAAAGTGCTCTATCCGTCGTGGAAATCCCACCGGAGCTAGCCACTTGTCCCACCCTCAAGCTCATGTTAAGAAGAATGCCCAGGCCCAGAAGGCTGCTGGTCTTGCTCACGACGGTGACTTGAACCACTTGAACGGGCTTAGTAACATCCCAGGAGACAACATGGTCCACCCCTTCGGCATGGTTCCCGTCCAAGACGGCATGAACAACTTGGCCGGGGACCCGAATCTTTTTGACAGCGGTAATAACGCGGACAGGCGCCAGATGCCCGTGATGGGTTCCTCGCAGCAATACGGTGCCGACGTCTCGAGCTCCATGAACCAGCAGCAGCCCCCTGGCTACAGCATGCCCCCGGGTCAGAACGGAATGCCCATGCATGGCAATTCAAATCAAAATCAACAATCTGGCCTTGATTGGGCTCAGATGTTCCAGGCTGGTGCGTATTAAACCTATCTCAACACCTCTTTCATTCCTAATCTTGGACAGACCTTCGAAATCGATCGACCAATCGATTTGATCGAATCGATTAATCGAATCGATTTCGATTTCGATCGAGCAGGACTTGTAATCGATTTGATCGTCGATCGCCACATGCATCGAGGGTGTGAGCTAGAGAAACGCGTTGTTGGGCCTGGCAATTTGGTTATGATATCCAAAAGGAAGGCGACCGCAGATGGGTTTGCCAAGTGTGCATTCGCAAGAATGCCCTACACCCACATCATTTCGAAGCTGATGGCATTCACAACGCGTACAATCATCTATTCAATGACCACGGGATTCGCGCTCGCCTGGAAGGACCAAAGGAACTGCTGAGAGGAAGGCGAATTCCAAGAGCAGGAAGCCTACGGGGCAACACTCTCGTGGAATCCATGAAGCTTGATCGACACGACCCCCGGGAACAAGCAATTGCGAATGGCTTTATCAAGCGCTTCTACAAGGAACACTTCCGGAGGCTTCTGGTCAACTGGATTGTGGCCAAGAATCACGCTTTTTCTACTGCTGAAGAAGCAGAACTCCAAGCTATCTTTGATTACTTGAACCTGTCAGTTTCAGCACGTAAAGCCAATATTACCCACACAACGGTTCGAGAAAAGATCCTCATCGCGTTCGAAGAACACAAGCACAAGGTGATTGAGGTCTTGTGCAAGGCGCCCGGCCTTGTCCACATCTCTTTCGACGGCTGGCGGTCTGGAAACCGACACGCCTTATATGGTATCTGTTGCTTCTTCAGAGACGAAAACAACCAGCCTTGCAAGCTCACGATTGGGCTCCCCGAAGTCAGCGCCAGGCACACGGGGCCTAACATCGCCGCCGAAATCCTCGACGTAGTTGAATCGTATCAGATCCGGGACAAGATTGGCTACTTCACGCTTGACAACGCGAAAAGCAATGATACCGCCATGGAGATTATTGGTGGAGAGCTCGGCTTCGTAGGGGCTCGCAGGCGAGGGCGCTGTTTTGGGCACATCTTGAACCTCTCCGCCAAAGCCATTCTATTTGGCCACGATGCTGAGGCATTCGAGCGACGGCTATCAGGGGCTGAGGCTCTCACTGAAGCAGACCACTTGATTTGGCGCAAAAAGGGACCAGCAGGCAAATTGCACAATCTTGTGGTAGCTATCCACAGATCTGACTTGTTGACAAACATGCTTCGCAGCATTCAACAAGAAGCATTCACCAAGTCGTCTGACCCCAAACTCAACGCCAGAAAGCCGTTGGATGTTATTTTGGACAACGATACCAGATGGCTGTCACAATTGTATATGATACGACAAGCTCTACTGCTCCGCACTATATCGAGCGACTTATTGCCCACTATCGAATCGAGTTCGAACAACAAAACAAGACCAAAAGGGGCGGTCCTAAGAAGTCACTCACGTTGCCCTTTATTTGCCAGCCAGAGAACCAGCTATCCGACAAGGACTGGGAGGTGGTCGAAATATTTGCGCAGATCCTTAGTTACTACGAAGCCGCGGTCAAAATGCTCGAAGGCGACGGCCAGATCCGCAAGCGGAAGCGTGGGTGGACTGGGTCTTATGGCAATATTTGGGACGTAATTCAAGGCTTTGAATTCCTTCTTGAGCAGCTTGAACGCTTCAAGGATATCGCCAAGGACTTCCCTGATCCTGAACACTTCAGGATCAACATCAATTTGGGCTGGCAGAAGCTGAATGAGTACAACGAGATATTGAGCGAGACGCCCATCTACTATGCTGGCCTGGCGCTCCATCCCGCATACCGGTGGAAATGGTTTGAACGCAACTGGAATGACCGCCCCGAGTGGATTGACGAGGCAAAAAAATTGTTCACGATGTGTGGCGTTTTGAGTATCGGGTTACTTTGCCCGGAGAGAGCCTATCAGCCGTTGAGCCAGTTCCTAAGCAGCGGAAGACTTCAGACAATCCATTCCAGGAATACCTTCAACGAAACCGCTACATAGCGCCAGAAGCAGGTCACGATGGCCTCACGCCAGGCGAGGACGAATACCTCCATTGGATTACGCACTGCGAAAGTGGCGATGGCTCAATCGATGATCCTCTCGCTTACTGGCTCGAGAAGCGATTCAAGTATCCAAACTTATCGCGAATGGCGCTTGATGTTCTGACAATACAACCCATGTCTGCAGAGTGTGAGCGTCTTTTCTCAGCAGTGTTGTTGGATTGCGCAGGAATGCTGAGTGCACTTGATGAGAAAGTAGTTCTTATTGTGATTGTTCTTCTTGTAATCGAAGGACCTTTAAGACCTTATATCTTCGAGTGGTCCCTTCTAGGACTTGAGTCCTAGAAAGTCCTACGATCAAGTCCTACGATCTAAGTTTTAGGACTTCAAACCTTAACTTTAATCCTGAAGTTGAGGGGGAATCCTCAGTTCTTCCAACAAGCAGCCGGTCGGATGGTGAACCCTCTGCGCCACCAACTTCAAGCCCAAATTATCGGGATGTGCCAGGTATTGCGTTCATGGCTGAGGGCGGGTATTATTCACGATCTAGATCCCTTCTTTATCTCGATAGACGAAGAAAAAGTCAATGTCGAATTGGCTCAGATGTCAGATCAGCAGCTTGAAGGGTGGGCAACACAGTGGCTAACTCAGGTGGCGAGCGCTCAAGACGAGATGGAAGCCAGTTGGAGATAGGCTCACTTGGAGCTTCTGGAAATTGAAACTTGGCGCTTACGTGGGCAAAGGCTTCGAGAATAGCTTCACCATCGCGAATGGACGCACTTGCCAATCCACCCAATCCACCCAATCCACCCTAATCCACCCTAATCCACCCTAATCCACCCTAATCCACCCTAATCCACCCTAATCCACCCTAATCCACCCTAATCCACCCTAATCCACCCTAATCCACCCTAATCCACCCTAATCCACCCTAATCCACCCTAATCCACGATGGCTTCCAGTGGATGCACTATACTGAGATATTCAGTGGATTATGATCTACCCACTCCACTCGAGCAGCCAGTGGATTGAGTGGAGTGGCTTTCAACCCTGGATCAGACAAGCCTTGAGGCAACCACGGGCGTCGCTTTCTCCATCCCAGTTCTCAGATGACAAGTTTGAAAGCTTTTAGAGAGCCGATGCACATGCGTCTAAAGAGAGTCAGGTCACGGCGGACGTCATTCCTATTATCGAAGGCAACATCGAAGACAGAAACTGTGTTGCTCGTCAAGTTCTATTCACCAACTTTCACCACCTTACCGACGGTACGCTCGTACCAGGCAACCCCGGATGTAATATACTACGGCGCTCGTCCCGAACAGCTTGATCAAAAAGTGCGCCACGAGCTTGATGGTTATATCATCCCTTCGACACAACATGATCTTGCTATCGCACCGAACTTTTTCCTCGAAGTGAAAGGTCCAGATGGCTCAGCTGCTGTAGCCAAAGACAATACGATACGGCGCTAGGAGCGAGAGGCTACCACAGTCTTCGGTTCGTACAAAGCAGCCGATCCGACGGTTCGATAATAAGGTTTACACTATTGGCTGTACCTATCAAGATGGGACTTTGAAGATGTACACGAGTCACCCAATACCGTCCTCAGCACCGGGTGCGGCACGAGAGGACTGAATCCCCGCAAAGTGACGCCTTGGGAGTGAGTTTCGCAAGCGAGGCATCCTGCCTCACGATCGAAGCAACCGGTCAAAAAACAACTACAAATCTAGGTTCTCACGCAGTGCCCTCACTCTACGACTCCGGTACCTCCGCAGACGAGCTATCACTCGATTTCCGTGAGTGCACCGACGGCACCTACCGGTACCCGCCATGAGACTACGGCCACAGTCTGTCTGCACCCCAATGTCCACACCCTCGCATCATGTATCGTGTGCGATAGATTACTTGTTGCAGCATCGGCTTCTGTCGCCTATCTAGAGGTAACAGAGGCGAAATCGTCACAATCTCCAATGCACTCGGGCGGGGATTGTCTCCGGTGTACATCCATAAATTTAACTAGGGTAGAACGGTGAAGTAACGTCACGATAGCGTACTTGGGTGCTTCAATGCCATCCTCGACCACCGTAAAAGGGAGATTTCCAAACTTAGGATCGTGAACCGTAACTTCTTAGGATGTCGTCATAAAAGACTCCGTCTCCGGAGTTGCACCGCTTTGCAGAAAACGCCTAAGCTGCATCCAACGGCTTTTGTCCAATGACCATGTGAAGGGTGTAATACGCGTGTATGTTGGTGTTATGGATGGACTTCCTGACGTCGATCAGGAAGACCTCGACCTGCTCGGTGGACCATCCAAGGCCGCGGGTGAAGGGGGCCATGACAGCCGAGAAGAAGTCGAGTATGATGGCCATGTTGTACAGCCCCGCCTTCTTGAGCCCCTGGTTCTTGGGCCACGTGCCGATGGGCGCCTTGTACATCTTGTTGTCGACGTTGACGAAGCCGGCGTCCTTGACCATGCCCTCGTTCTTCTGCTGCCCGTGCAGGTCGAAGCCGAACTTGAGAAAGCCCTCGCGCAGCAGCCTGACGAACTCGTCGTACTTGTAGTCGTCGGGCTTGGAGCCATCGTCGCTGTGTGTGATGTACAGGAAGTCCTGCAGCTCGATCCAACCTCCCGGTTTCAGGGCCTTGTACGCTTGCTCCAAGAGGCGCGGCATATCCTTTATAGTCAGAGCCATGTGGCGCAGGTGGATGCAGTCGAGCGAGTTTGGAGGGTCTACCCATTCCGTCTCGGCGTCGTCGACGATGAACTTGACGTTGGGAGGCACCCATGACGGTTGGATCGGGCTGAGGTCGATGCCGGTGATTTCCGCAGAGGGGTACTCGTCGCCCACTGCATTCAATTCGAGGAGCGCCAATATTAGTCATAAAATTCAATATCTTGTACAAACTTGGGGGCTCGCATCAAGTGTAGTCTCACTGTCGATAGCCCAGATGCCCGTGCCAGTGCCGACGTCGAGGATATTCTGAGGATGATCTAACGGCGCCAGATGCAGCTTGCCTCCGCAGAGATGCAGCACGAGGGCGTGTTTCATGTCCTCGCGCTCCTGCTCCTCGTTGTCATTGGGGATTAGGTAGCGCCCTTCCTTGAACTTGTGGTATCGGCGGTTGTTCTCGAAGACGTAGTCCCGGACGCTCGAGGAGATGGACGCCGTCGCGGTCGATAGCCAGTCGGCTTGGTAGCCTTCGTCGGGGTCGGGGTTGGCCCTGGGGTCGACCTCGATGATATCGTCGGCGGCGGCGCTGGCAGTTGTTGGACCGGTGTTGTCCTCCGCAGCAGTTGTCACGCCAAAAAATGCCATGGCCGAAAGCATAATAGGGCCAGTTAAGATTCTACAGGAAGGATTAGTTGAAAGACTGTTGTGGGACGGGGTTCTCACTAATAACGGCAATGGGCACCAGATAAGAATTTGCATTACCTTTACAAGCACTTGGACAAACACATTCCTTCTGCAGGGTCACAGGTCACCGGAAACTGTCCGCCTTGATGTACTTTTCCTACTTCGGCGATGATGGTCTGTTATTGATGGAAATAAGGGGGCCTGCATAAGTGGCTGCAGCTGTGCTCCAGAGTTCACCAAGCGAGAGTCCCCCCTCACCGCGGGCCCAATCATGCACGCGTCTTGGATGTTCGGTGTGCCCGATGGGCAAGACAACTAGACGATACGACTCTCCGGGATGGCCCAATCTGCTCAAGTTGAGAGGGGCCAGATGGGAGGTGGGCGGGCTGGAAGTCTCTTGAGCAAGGGGGCCGACACCCAAGGCTCGAACCAACTACACTGCATATCCACGTGGATGGATGGATTTTATTTCGCCCGGGGGGACACACCCCAGAGGGCCTTTGCGCTAAGCTATTTTCGTTTCGTACGGTTCTTCCATAATCACCCGAAGCCCCACAATTTCACTTTACTGATTGGTCCAATCTGATGTATATGCAGTGACAGGCCTGCTTGAAGGCCAATTTCTCCAAGTGTTCAGCATCCTATCCTCAGCAGCTGAAGCACGGTCTGCCAAAATGAGACTGTATGATGTTAGTAGGATTCAATCTGAATAGTTAGTGTGCCTGAGGCTTCTGGTCCATGTCAAGCCTCCCCGTTGCAATGGCAAATTTGATCGTCGCCCGTACTGCCCGCATGTCTGGCGCCCATTTGTCACCGTCAGACGCCGCCTTTCCTCCCAGGAAGTATGATAGGTTTCCCATCTTTGTCTGTGAGCATCGCAACATGCCTTCCCGTTGCGCGGTCCATTTTGCGCAGCGGAATAGGAAGTGTTCCACTGTCTCTGATGCTAGCCCGCATTCGCAAGTGTCCAATTCCGTCGTTCCTATCTTGCACAGAAAGCTGTTAAGTCTCACCATTCCGGTGCGGAGCTGTGATAGTACGTCTGCTTCCTTCCTCTTCAGCGGGTCATATAGAGTACGGGTATGCTTGCCTGGCAGTGCCGTATCTATCTGCTTCGAGTATTTCCCGACTCTTTCTGGTAGTGTTCTTGTTTGCCGCTGCTTGGTTATCGCTAGTCTTATTCTTGTGGATCTTGCTAGATGCGGTGGCACATCTGGTCTGCATTCTCCTTCTGTGGCCTTCCGGGCTGCTGCTTTGGCTTTTGGTCCCAGCGCGAAATCCTCTTCTCCTGCTGGAACCCACAACATCCGGAGAGAGTGGCCCTCGTCTTCGAGACGCTTGATATGGTCGTATATTTGCCGTATGATCTGTTGGCCGGATTGTTGTCGTGGCCGCCGTATGGCTTCTAGTGCGGAGCGGCTGCTCGTCATGACAGTCATATCCCGCCGGGAGAGTCCAGACGGCATACATCTCAATACCATCTCTATAGCTCCCAGCTCGGCGATGTATAGGTTCAGCTCCTCCGTCAACCCGAGAGTGATGGAGTAGCTGGCCACTACCTCGTCATCGTTGTTGATCGCCGTATCTCGTACGACGCCTCCCATGCCTACCATGCCCCTTCTCTGCGAGGAGCAGGTGGCAATGACTATACCATCCACCCTCTTTGCTTCTTCCACCGCTCTCTCCCGGTCACGGTCGCACGACACCGGGATACGGTCTCTCCATGGCGGTAACGCGTACTCCCGAATGATCTCCATTCGTTCAGTGGCTGTTTCCCCTTGTACTTGAGCAATCCTCTGCATCGGCGATACGAATCGGCGACACACTTTCACTTTCAGTGTCGCCAACGGGTGTGTCCTGGGAAGGGTCCGGAGGTTGATCCAAAACCTTGTTGCCGCTTGCGCATGCCGTTCTTGCACCGATTGGATGCTAGCTTCGGCCTCTGCCACCGCCGTTGCGACGGTCCGGAAAGCTCCCGTGATCGCCTGTGCTCCGACCATCTGTGCCTTGTCCAGCCAAGCAGCTTCTCTAATGCCACATGAGTGCGCCCACACGCTGGACGCATAGTCCATGGTGGGAGCTACTGTTGCTACGAACAGTTGTCTCGCCGTCCGCGGTGACAGCATTTTCAGTCTTCTCAAACACATAGCAGCCGAGAGCCCCTTTGCGGCAGCTCTAGCTATGTGTTCCTTGTACCGCAGTTTCGCGTCCATGACCACTCCCAGGATCTTGGCGCTCGCCTTGGGCTTGACTGCTTCCCCTTTGATCATGAACGGTGTGTCGCTAGTACTCGCGGCGTTTCGCGTGAAATGCACGATGGCCGTTTTGTCTCCTTCGAACGTCGCGCCGCTCCGACTTTCCCAGCCCAGTGCTTCGTCTATAATTGATTGGATGCCGGCTCGGTTCTCCTCTGCTGTTGGTCCCACTACCCAGGCCGAGTAGTCGTCCACGAATGCCATCGAACCACCTCTTGCGTTGATTCTTCTCTGCACCAGATCTGCATTAAAGAACAGGAACAACACCGGCGACAGCGGTGACCCTTGCGGGAGACCTGCCTGTGGCAACTCCCGTAGTTGTGACGTGTGCCCATTTACCATCACAGCGGCCGTTCGCCCAGAGCAGAAGGCATCAATCCATCTCACCAGTCCACCAGGTATGCCTCTCGCCTTCAGCCTCTCTAGTAGTCACTCTTTGAACACTCCGTTGTAGGCGCCTTTGACGTCGAAACTGATCAGACTGAGCACCCTGCCAGCCCTCCATGCCTTGTAGATCAGCTCCTGCAGCAGTATCAGTGCTTGTTCAGCTGACCTTCGCTTCCTTGCCCCGAAGTGGTTTGCGGGTAGCAGTCCATAGCTCTCCACTACATAGGATATCCGCTCTGCAACGACTGCCTCGAGTATCTTGCCCAGTGTTGACAGCAGCGATATCGGTCTCCATGCCTTGGCCACTGTGTAGTCTTCCTTGTCTGCTTTCTTTAGCGGGATGATCTTCGCACTCCTCCATTGGTGGGGTACCACACCATCCCTGAGGGATGAGTCGAAGAGGTGCAAGACACGGTATCTAACCACTGGCCAAAGCTGTTTCCACACCATTGCTGGCAGACCATCCTCTCCAGGCGCTTTCCAAGGTTTCGCTGATAGCACTTTTCCTTCAACTTCCTCCATGGTGAGGTCTGGCATGTGCACTTCCCTCCGTTGCGGTCGGTCATCTTCATCTTCAATTCTGGCCGGCAACGGCGGGAAGAACGTGCTGAACAGCTCCTCTGCCTGCTCCATCCTATCTTCCGTGGTGGAGCCGTCTTGTCTCTTCAAAGGGGGTACCCTGTCGTCCATGATGTCCTTTCCAGGTTTCAAGTATTTGGCCGCCTTCCATATGTTGACATCTTCTGCCAGGAAATCGTCCCAGTGCAGTTTCTTCTGTTTCCGGATGGCATCATGGTACTCCTTGGATGCTTCCTTGGCCCGTCTTTCCAGGTCGTGCCTCATCTGACCTGCTCGCCGCTGTACCCTGGCCTGATTCCGCCAGAACGTATACACCTGCCGAAGTCTTGTCAAATCCTTCGTCCACCAGCGCTTCGCGTACGGTACTGGTAGTGCTCGGGGCGTCAGCTCGTGAATCGCCTCGAGGACGACCCTCATTAACTGGTCTGTCTCTTTCTGCACGCCGACAGTCCAGGGAAGCTCTCGGAGATTGTTCTCCACCCTGGTTCTGATTGTTGTCCATGGTGCATTCTTGAACAACAGTCTTTCCGTGGCAATCCGATCAGGCCTCGCGAGATCGAACGTCGTTTGGATCGCCCGGTGGTCCGATCCGTGTTCTGTCGGGTGTATGGAGCACGTCACCATTTCGTCTGCCACTTCCGCCGTCGCCAGCACCAGGTCGATTGTGCTTTCCTTGTCGGGGCCTTGCCATGTCTTTGTGCCTCTCGGGAGGAGGCTGCAAAGACCGTGTTCGTTCATGAGGTCGATGATCGGTTCGGCCTCGCTTTGCCTTGCCAATGGCACGTCGTCTCCTCCCCATAGCCGGTCGTGCTGGTTAAAATCTCCTGCCAGTAAGACGTCCACCACCATCCCTGTCCTGCTCCTGAGGTCGAGGATCACCTGGTGCAGGGTATGGCATGTGTGTCGAAGAGTCTGAGGCTTGCCCCCCGGCACGTACACTGACACGACCAACACTATTCGGTCCGGAAGTCGTATGGTTGCTGCTGTCAAGTCCGGGGACTGTACTGGTACTTGCTCGGCCTCCAAATTCCTATTCACCCACAACATGCTTCGGATTGGCCATCTGCCATCTCTCCAAATTGTGGGGACCATTTTGGTCCATTTGGGGTGTCCCATGGGGACTGTGAGTAGTTTGCCGTCAATTTTCCGTGCCTGTGGTTCTTGGATCGCTATAAATGCAAAATCTTGGAGTCGCTTATCGTTCATTAGGCTTTCATGTACCATATCCTGTTTTCTCACATTTAGTTGGATTACCTGAAACATCCTACTCATGCCGGGTAGGATAGAGTTTCGGGCAGCTTCTGCTGAACGACTCGTGCGGTCCACCACAGGGCACACACTTGGGTACCTGCGTCTGGCACTCGCTATGATGATGGCCTTCGGCGGCGCATCTCGCACATACCCGATTCTTGCTGCACGAGAAGGCCTTGTGGCCAAGCTCCTGGCAGTTGTAGCATTGTATCGGTCCGGTTCTCCGCTCGAACATGCTGGTATAAGCCGATTCACCGGCTGCAAGGAAGTAGCGTTCCTGTAAGAGTCTCCTGGCATCGCTGTTTTTGGTGAGGTATACCACCATGGATCCATATGCCTTTGCGTTATCCTTGCGACTCAACCAGGCCATCTTGGCAATGTGGACTTCATTCTCTTGGCCCAAGGCTTCCATTGTTCCAGGAAGGACCTTGCCTTCCTGGTCCAGAACGGCGGTACGGTTGATATTGTCAACTTTGACTGGGTACAGTT